CAGTGAGTGGGGAGCCCATCGGAGTACCTTTGCTCCGTTGTAAGTCCATCCGGCAAAGGTAAAGTATGTCTTTTTGGCAGAATTCGAATAACCTCATGATATGTTCAACGTTAAATGGGTTCGGGCCTCATCATATACCTCTTCATGTCTCTTGTGCAAGATTTCGTACGCCAGGTTTGGTGGTAGGGATACGAATAACAAACTCACAGACCATTATTTCGTCTGAATGAGTCGTCCGACCTCGAAGGTCCTCGAGGAATCCAGAGGCCGATTGAACTGAGGTAGTCGAGTTGCCTTGGAAGAATTTCAGTTTAACATATATCAATTTTGCCAAATTTTACATAGGGCTGCCTTTAAGGGGAACGATTGGCCGAAAAGGGACTTAAATCGCCAGCGTGCATAGTCAAGCAAACTTAAAGCAATCGGAAACGTCGTTGACAAAACGGCAAAATAAGAGCAGGTCAAGTACGTTACCCTGAATAACTCCACACCTCACATATGTGGGGTTGAAAATTATGTAAGAGATTTTAAATCGTTGTGTGCGAGCATCCACCTAGGAGGATCTTAAAGTCCGAACCTTGTAACCTATTCCAAAAGAGGCAAATTTAAGGAGGAGGATGAGGTGGATGAGGAGGAGGAGGAGGAGGAGATAATGGTGTCACAGGAAATTTTTTCAAGAACCCGTGCTAAGCCGCGCTAAGTAGGTTGTTAGCTGACAGACGACGCATCATCTTTTCTTTGGTTAAGGTCTCCAAGATCTTCGAGGTTGCGGGAAGTGAAGTTATTGGCCTACAGTCGCCAAAAGACATCGATCGGCCGCGCTTGGTTACAAGGAGTATGTGCGACAGAACCATGTTAACTTCTTCTTTGTCGTCCAAACCTAGCTTGATAGGTTGAGGTCAGATAGTTTCTGACAGTTCGTTAACCTTATTGCCTATCCGAAAGCGCTGCATGAACTTTCACTGTCTCTTTTTGTCGGAGCATGCCATCTAACAGTCTCCGAAAGTT